CGACTCCCGGGGTCAGACCTTCAGAGACAGCGAGCATTGACACAAAGAGACAAACAACACAAGATAATTCTATTGCGGCTACACCACGTAGTAGCATTGTTTCCACGCCGCTGCCTCCTGGCGACCTTGATTACGCTGCTGCTGTCAACTCCCTCACTCTACAATTCCTCAATGAAAATGAAGCCACTAGAGTTGCGGCCCTTGCATGGCTCATCATGCTCCACCGTAAAGCCCCGCGGAAAGTCGTCGCTTTCAACGACGGTACCTTCCCAGCTTTGCTAAAAACGTTATCCGACCCTTCAGAGGCGGTTGTAACCAAAGATCTGCAGCTCCTTTCACAGATCTCAAGAAATAGCGAGGATAGCTATTTTAAATCTTTTATGGTCGCCTTGTTGCAGCTCTACTCTACAGACAGACATTTACTCGAAGTGCGCGGGAATCTGATCATCAGGCAGCTTTCTCTGAACCTGAGCCCGGAGCGTATCTACTGGACTTTGGCAGATTGCCTCGAGAAGGAAGAGGTGAGTTTCATTGCACATTTTGGGCGCATTATACGCTAACGTATCATCAGGATCTTGAATTTGCCAGTATCATGGTCCAGAACTTGAACAACAACCTCATCACTGCGCCCGAACTTTCGGAATTAAGAAAGCGCCTGAGAAATCTCGACTCAAAAGTAATATCCCCGGACCCCCCCCCCCCCTTCTCTCTCTTTTATTCTTGAGACTAACGAATCATCTAGGATGGTCAAATGTTCTTTGTTGGGCTTTTCAGATCGTGGTGCCACAACGCTGTCTCCACGTTTTCTCTCTGTCTTCTTGCCCAGGCCTATGAGCAGGCATACAATCTCCTCCAGATCTTGTCAGTATACCAGCTCCATCCCTCACAATAGTCTGCTGACAATAGCATCCACAGCGCCGAATTGGAAATGACAGTTAATATGCTAATTCAAATCGACAAACTGGTGCAACTACTAGAGTCGCCGGTATTCACATGTCCGTTTATTTCCATCAACCCAGCCCCGATCTCAGAAGCTAATCCCAACAGATCTCCGCCTCCAACTCCTTGAACCCGAAAAATATCCCTTCCTTTACAAATGTCTCTACGGCGTCCTCATGCTCCTCCCCCAGAGCTCCGCCTTCGCTGCCCTCAAGAACCGTCTGAACAGCGTCAGCAATATTGGTTTCCTCCACGGTGGACCCCGCAGGTATGGCCCCTGCCCCCCGCATTCCACCCCAAGGTTTACTGAGACGAACTTCCCTAGCACTACTCAAACGGCCCCACCTTTCGACCGTTCCACAGGCACCCGCCTGAAAACCCGCGACGAGAACTCCATCCGCTGGGTCGAACTCCTCGACAAATTCAAGGCCGTCCAGGAACGAGCCCGTCGATCCCAGGGCTCTGCCCGCCACTCCTTCGACCAGTCTGGTCCCCTGATCAATCCCTCTCTTACAGCTGCTCTCTCCGTCGCTGCTGCAGACCGTCCCAAGGACCGATCTAATCTCCCTGATGCTCCGCGCGGTGCTCCAGGCCCTAGTAACGCTGCTGCTGGAAGTTCTGGTCTGGGAGGTCCCGGTCCTGGTTCCAGTGCCACTGCTGCCGGACGTGCGTTGGATAATAGTGCGGCGAAGGGTGCGCCATCTCATAAACACAAATCGAGTCTTCCCAATTTGGGGCGACTGGGTATCGGAGGACGGAAGTCCAAGAAATAGTTACATGGGTAGCTAGAGCTGGACCTCATCCCCTGCATAGACCTTTCTTTTTGTGTCTTGTACTTAGCTGGATTGTTTCGTGGTGATCATACCCTGGATCCCTTTGTGAATAACATCATATTTCTTAGCCTGCCCCAAAATATGTCTATTGACTAGACGCCTTGGTACGCCTTATCTTCGAGTATAGTATTCTCAATCGTCATTTCCGGCAATATGTAGCTCTTCGTCGTACAAAAAAAAACATTGAATTCGTTCTATGGTCATAATTATTCGCTTCCCAAATGAATACGCTCGCAAAGATACTCCATTCCAATACTGTAGTAAACTCCGAACCCGCCCAAGTATGCCAAATAAGTGTATCAGTGACTAATATACTGGAAAACAGATGAGACATCCTTTTCCCCGGTCTCTTGACGAAGAAGCAGATCCTGGATTTGATTGAGCGGCCCCTTCTCGCCGGTATTGACAAAATGGTTCCATGAACTAGTATCACCATACAACATAGCGGGGGCCTTGATATATTGCAAGCCGTCAGGCCGACACCGTTTGCACTTGAAAGTGTCATGGGTGTCACTCCAAGTATCTGGTTTGAACTGGAAGAGTTCTCGCAGGGAGTCGAGAGAGAAATGACGCTCGACATCTTCGGCGGAGTCCACGACACACGACGAGAGGGACTGTTTGTGAGACTGGCGCTGGAAGATTTTTTCTTCGATTGAGCCTGTTGCAATGAATCGGTAGACGAAACAATCTTTCTTTTGTCCGTCTCGCCACACTCGTGCTAGCGCTTGCTGGTCAGCAGCTGGATTCCAGTCTGGGTCGAATAGTACTAGTCGGTTGGCGCCGATTAAATTCAGACCACACCCGCCGGCCTTACTACTCAGGAGGAATATGAATTCCTGGCCGTCTGGGTCGTTGAACTTGTCGACTAGCTTTGTGCGCTTTTTGATGTTCATGGTGCCGTCGAGGCGCAAGGAGCCGTACCCCCGCGACCGACAGAGCTTTTCGAAAAGATCTAGGGTTTGAGTGTAATTGCTGATGAGGACGATTTTGTCGTTGGTGTCTTGTCGGATTCGGGCTAGCATGCGGTCGAGCACCATCATCTTGCCAGAGTACCAACTCTTGATTTCTCTATCGCGACCCCGAGTATCGGGGGGTGAATAGTCCTCGGGGAATGTGTGCTCGCATCCTGGAAGGTCGTTTGCTAGATCGAGGAGATCCGGATGATTGCAGAGCTTTTTCAAAAGACCAATCGCTTTCAGCGGCTGACTGCCCTTTCCGCGAAGAAGGCTTTGGATCTCCGGACTCTTGATGAAATGATTGTACAGACCACGCTGGAACTGTGACATGTTGCAGAACACAACATGCTCATATTTGACGGGCAAGTATTTTGAGAGGAGCTCATTGGTTCGGCGGATGATGAACTTGTTGACAACCCCAGAGAGCTCTTGCAATCGTTCATCTCCCAGCTTCTTTTCTTCGTCTGTGCCTGCGGCATCCCGGCCTCGCAGAATCGGAAGTTCAAACCGTTTCCGGAAATCGGCTTGGGAGCCCAGGAGATTCGGGTTCGCGAAGTGAAGAAGAGCGAAGTACTCAGACAGGTCATTCTGGATGGGTGTTCCAGAAAGAATCACTCGGCGAGTAACATTGAGTTGATTCAAAGCAGTCCATGTCAAGCTTTCCTTGTTCTTTAGTCGATGACCTTCGTCACATAGAAGAAGTCCAATCGGAGTATCATTCAAAGTATCCGCATACATACGGAGTGTCTCATAGGACACAATAAGGACGGGCCTGACGATTCCGCGCCCTGATGCGATGGCCCACTGCTTGATCTGCGTTATTAACTCCGCTTTCGTAGCCTTTCCATCGATCGCAAAAGGTGTGGTGGCGTCCTTTCCAAGCCATTTTACTGATATGGTCAGTCGAGGTAATGATAAGTAGGGTACCGCGCATAACTCACCCAACTCGTTCGCCCAATTACCAACCAAACTTGACGGACATGCAATAACGCATTTTTGAATGGTAGTTTTTCCGGCCTCCGAGGACTGCTTGAGTAGCGTCCACATCAATGCGATGCATTGAAGCTGTATTCGTTAGAACCAAGCTATGAAAATCGGGTTGGTCGAGCTCACCGTTTTACCAAGTCCCATGCCGTCTGCCATGATGCATCCGTTTGCATTCTTGTCAACCAGCCCAGTAACACATCTATAAAGGAACTATACGTAGACGTAGTGTCAGCTTTGCTCCTATGTCATAGCTTATCTCGGGGCGCAATACCTTCACACCCTCGACTTGATGTGGGCGAAGCACTTTGCACAGTCTCGGATCAATCACGACAGGCACCTTTGGCCTTTCTTCCACGTTCTTTTTGAGCCCCAGAATGTCCGCTAGACTCTTATGCATAATTGGCTCATCCAAAGTTGGTGTATCCTCCGTCGGTGCCTCTAGGCTTTTGGGCGCAGGTTCCTCAGCGACATCGTCTACTGTCGGGTCGTATAAAACAATCGCAAATTCTCCACTTGGGTCGTGTAGTGGCTTGACCACAAATGTTGCACCTCGTCGCATCCCCAATGTCGGAGCCACCCGACCGGAACTGTACTCGCCTGTGGCTTTGTTGATGAACGGAACCTGAAATCGTGACCTGAACGCCACATCTTTGTCCTTCGGTTTGTACGCGGGAAATTTGTTGCACTCTCTTGTTTCCAAAGCGAGTCGGTCATCATTCGTGTATGGCTTCTCCTCTCCATCTTCCACGCTTCCATCGGCGTTGGCATAGTTGACCTTGCGTCTCTTTCTCGATGGTTTTTCGGATGCCCGAGTCGGTGTTGCAGTCCCCGGACATTTGAATGGCCTTACAAGTCGATCGATCGAGTTTTGGGTGTTCACGGATCTCGGTTGCAACGGAGTCTTGACGCTGTCGTCGCCATCGGCCGGGCGTTGTCGATACCTTCCAGGCATGTCAGTCAGCATAGAAACTTGAAAACGATTAGGATGAGGACTTACATTGGTCCCAAAAAGTTAAAATAAATACACTAAGCTCCTGCCGTACAATGATCTCAAAGTGAGGCAAGTGCAAATTGTCGACGCGTCGCGTGAGGCTCCCAAACACCAAAATGCCGCGTCCCAAAATACACCGCCCAATGGGGTAAGGTGGTCCAAGCTCACCTTTATTTTTAGGAAGTCACGTGGTACCCATACTCTTTCTTGCATCAACACAAAACAACTGGTGAAAACGACATAGCTGTACAGTGCCTAGTCCCGTTCACTTATGCTAGCTGAACATTTTCCAAAATGCCAACCCTCCGGTTACTTAGAGGAAATAGTATTTCCTTGGGAGACGCCCTAACTGACGATGACAACATCCTGCACCGCTTAGACTATCCGCAAAAGCAGGAGGACTTTTGGTCATAACTCCTTGCACATAGAAGTGAAATCGAATCAGTGGTTTCATTCCATCTTGGCGTAAAACATTGTCAAGTCGCCGACCAAGCTGAATGGTTATGTGGAAGTTACAACGTCTGCATTCCAGTTTATATCAACCTACCATCAGAAAATTGCGTTCTTATTCGAATCCCACGGCCTTATAAAGTTGGAGAAGAGAACATTCCCGGGAATGTCGATGAAAAATTACGCTGCGAAGTTGCCACGTACATTTGGATACGTGAAAATTGTCCGGATGTTCCAATTCCCACCCTGTATGGGTTTGCATTTCCAAATGGGCAGACTGTACGTGAGCCTATAATCTCTATGTGCCTCAGAACTCTAACTTTGTTTTCTTGGTTTGCTGAGGAGGGCTGCATGGGCTTTTCTTCTCGGTGGCATTGGCGCATCATGCAAACCATGCGATCATGGTTCGGGTTTTCCAAAGTCTGCCCATATATCGGTACTAAGGATAAACATATGCTGAAAACTGGGTATATAATCATCAGTTTTGTGACGGACGGTCAAATGCTCTCCAATACCTGGGCAGAGCACCTCCTGGTGACAAGACACGAAGGCAGACTCTTTTCGGTGATATTGCGAAGATCATGCTTTCACTTGATCGGGTCAAATTACCGCGAATCGGATCCTTGACTTTGGATGACGATGGCTTGATTGAGTTGAAAAATCGACCTCTAACATTACGACTCCAAACGTTCGAAAATGAAGATATCCCCACAATACCAAGGAATTCTACGTACCATTCTGTGGAGCCTTATATTTTGGATCTTTTGCAGCTCCACGACAACCGCATTCATCATCAGCCAAATGCAATTCATAATCTGAATGACGGCTAGGAACAATTTGCGGCTTTAACCATGATGCGTGGTCTCTTACCTCAATTCATTTCCCGTCAATACCGCGATGGGCCATTTGTGCTTATGCTCACGGACCTTCACGCAAGTAATATCTTCGTTGATGAAAATTGGCATATTACATCCTTGATTAACTTGGAATGGGCATGTTCTTCTCCCATTGAGTTACAAACACCGCCTTACTGGTTGAATGGTCGGCCTATTGACGATATTGAACACGGTGAACACCTCGAGGCTTTTCAAGAGGTCATGGCTGAATTCATAGATGCCTTTGAAGAACAGGAAAAAAGTATGCAGACTCCCGATGCTTCCCAGACCCAGATCATGCGGAAATGCTGGGACAGAGGTAGCTTCTGGTACTTCCAGGCTGTCAATAGCCCGAAAGGTCTCCTTCGGGTATTCAATGAGCATATCCAACGAATGTTCTGTGAGGAGCATTGCACCCAGCGAGTGTTTGATCGGACTGTCAGTCCGTATTGGTCTGTGGGGGCTAAAAAGTCCATCCAAACGAAGGTGGAGCAAGAGGCCGAGTATAAGGATCGAATGAGGAAGCGGTTTGGTGAAGTTGATCAAAAAAGCTGATTCGTGTGGTTGCTGGATGGTACTGTTTCGCATTCATACCCCTCTATCCCTTCGTGGGCGGTGTAATAATCACCAGTTACATTGACATTGTAGACCTCTGCCAATTGCTCCATTGACGGACCCCAGAGGACTTCCTGCACCTCCTGCAGGCTAGGAACCTTTCCGTCTTTGTCTGGAAGTAATTCGTTGTAGTTCGGCCCCTGGATCCCGGAATTGGCAATCACGAGATTCACGTATCCCATTTCCGCTGCAATGTGAGTGGCCACGCTTTGCAGGCTCGACTTTGATGTCACAACGCATTGAAGGGAAAAGATGTTTCCATGTAGAGCTGCAGCTGCAGCCTCGTCAAGCTTGTCTTTGCGTCGGCCAACGATGTAGACCTTGGCCCCGTTGGCCTCAAGGGCTCGCGCCATCACAAGACCAATACCTACATCACAAGCACGCCATATTTAGCCAGATTACCTTCATAGCTTCACGCTGTACTATACGATTCTTTTTCTTTCCAATTTCCTCATATGTGGTTTAGTGTTTAGTGTAATTTCAACATTGGATTATGTTGAAACTCGTACGGAGTGCTTCATAGATGATAATGCCCCACTCGGACATTCCAGTTTTCCTATTGGCTCGCAAATACTTGACCTGCGTCGGGCTTCACCCAATCAGCGGGCTCCAACTAAAACCTGGAGAGCTTTTGGTAAGCAAATTAGATTCCAAGCTTGGAAGGTAGTATCATTTGCTTTAGATCTGTAAGCTCCCTTTAATCAGCATGAACTAGTGGTTCGAGAGTAGTCGACGATATTAGAAATCGACACTATATATAAGTAGACAGTCTGCCAGCTTGATAGATATTGTCAATCGAATATTCTTTCTCAAATCATCCGCACGTCCATCCATACAAACTCAGTCATGTCTTCTTATCTCATCACTGGCGCGAGTCGTGGTCTCGGAGTAAGTTAAAACGTCATTTGCTTTGATAGTTATGGACTAAGATGAATAGTTCGAATTCGTTCGGCATCTTGCTCAGAATCCAGATAATACTGTCATTGGCCTCGTCCGGAACAAGGCCGCGGCTGATTCAAAGGCCAAGGAAGAGGGACTTCATAATGTCCACATGGTCGAGGCTCAGTATACCGATTTGGCGTCCTTGAAGGTACGCAGACTTAACCGATAAACGATGAATATCATACTCACTTCTTTCAGAAAGCTGCAGAAGTGGTCAAAGGTATCACTGCAGGGGCTCTGGACTATCTAGTCAACAATGCCGCCATCATCTCGCGTGTCACCGAATTCAAAACCCTGGGAGATTTGTACGTATTGAACCTTCAGTCAACGAAGAAAATAATACTGATAACAAGCAGTGACGATGATTTCGAGACTTTGGAAAAAGACCTCCTAGAATCGCTGGAAATCAACCTTCTAGGTGTCATCAAGACAGTACATGCCTTTTTACCCCTAATCCAGAACGGCAAGGGCAAAAAGGTCATCAGTATCTCCACTGGTATGGCCGATACCGACCTGATCAATGCGACCGAAATCGCTTTCGGGGCCCCGTACGCTATCAGCAAGGGTGCCCTGAATGTCGCCGTTGCCAACTACAATGCCCTTTATAACAAGGAGGGCATTCTCTTCCTTGCCATTAGTCCCGGATATGTGTCGACTGAGCGAAACAACGGTATGTCAAAGGCAGTACCCGGAAATTGTCATGGATATACATACTAAAGCTTATTTGTAGCTGCACCAGCACCAGAAGATACCGACAAGGTAGCTGCCCTTGTGGGCAAGTTCGTCGAGTATGCGCCGCACTTCAAGCGCCCTCTGACACCGGAGGAGTCAGTCACTGCTGTCCTTTCTGTCATTGATAAATCCTCAGTCGCGAATGGAGATGGTGGTGCGTTCATTTCCCATTTGGGGAACAAGCAGTGGCTGTAAGTGCACTAGATATAGCTGAAGGATACTGATATGTTCCATAAATTCTATGTATATCGTTGAAAATATTGTGATAATTCAATGAGGTTCTTGTATTATGACCGTTGAATATATCCAGCCAATGGCAGCAGCCGGGCACGTATCCCACCAAGCGTTGCCAACATCTCGAGATCTGCTTTCCTTCTTATTTCTCTCATCGCAACTCACCGTACATATGGTTTCTCCTCTCTGAAAAATCCCGCCTGCATTGCGCTCTGCATCGGAATGTCCCCAGCAAGGTCACGAGGTTCCTATCGTGTTGGGAATCCATCGAAGCGGGGATGTTGGACATGTCGCGGTATGATAAAACATCTTTCAGTATAGATAGCAACACAGTTGGACACATATTCTGACCTCTCTACAGATCGAAAGGTATCCTGTGATCTGGGCAGACCAGGGTGCCGGAATTGCGCAAAATTGAACCGCAACTGCCAGGGATATAGCCTACGTTTGAGCTGGCCAGCACATGATTCCCGTAGATCCATTCAACATTCTGTTCAAAATACTTCAGATGTTGTACCCGATGGATTTGAAAACGTGCATTTCATCAATACCTTGATGGCAGATGTCGAGTTACTTTATTTGCCTCGTAAGAGCGTGGGTCAGTTATTTAATTGTCTCGGATCTTGTTTATAAACAGCCCTCAGCTTGTTGTTGCTGACTTTCTTGGCTATTCATTTCTCTAGGAAAACTACCAATTCAAAACACATATATTTTCCCACTATCAAACTTGGCAAAAACACCAGTTCGAGGTGATGGCAACCACCTGGTGACATTCTGTATGAGACTATCATGCTTTACAGGAAAGAGAACCTGACTGACTGACTAACCGTCTCCACTACAGTTATGACAACAGTCATCAGCTCATTAACCCCAATCCGAACCGATGGCCATAAGCTTTGGAAATTATTGTTCCAGCTTTCATTCTCCGATGACTCACCGGCCTCACTGGCCGTCCTACGAGCAATGCTGTCTGTGGCATCATTATATCGTTATGGTCATGGCGAGGAGCCCCTTCGGCTAAAGACATTAGCACTGGAGTCTTTACACACATCCATGAGCGGGCACGCTACCGGTACAACAGAGATCTACCAGCATGTTGCCGTGGGGATGTTACTCTGCGCTTTCGAGGTATCTTTCTTGCCCCCGTTGTGTAAAACACTGCTTATCAGTTTAGATTTTTCAACCTTCAGAGAGTTCTTTTCAATGGCCGTTATACGTGTCCGGAGCTAAAAGCATGCTCCATTTGATTTGCGATGGCGGACACCCCAAGCTGATGGAGGCTGACCTTCTCATACTTTGGGTGCATTACCATGATATACTGGGAAAGTTTACCTCTAGACATTGGAGGGTCCAGTCTGCGGAAAGTGCATCAATCTTCAAGATACCCGGCATGGCTTCCACTCTGGCTTCTGTAGCGCATGATCAGGTAGTCCTCGATATTTCTCCCATTGTTGAATTTGGTGCTGATAGCAGTGGTAGGTTTTAGGCATATTCGGGTGCTCGCTTGAAATGATAAACCTGATCGCTAGAATGTCGGAAATTAAGCCCGACAGTCAACCACCTGGCAACATCCAATACACCGAGCGAGAAACCCTAAATTCCATTGAACACGACTTAATGGTACTCAACCAAGACACTACACACCTCATTGGAGCAAATTCCGCAGAAGAAGTCGAACACGGAAGCAAAATATCCAAGCTCTACCGACTGGCAGCATTGATCTATCTCGAACGTGTGTTGAAACATTCCTCCGCCGGTGGGCGAGTGGCGAGATGGTCAGCTGAAGCTTTTGACCTTGTTCAGCAGTTGGACATATGCGAGCGACCATTTCCACTGTTTTTTGTAGCATGTGAAGCGCATACGGATACACAAAGGGGGGTAATCCTTGATCTATTAAAAAGAACACAAAAAATGTCCAGCCAGCGGAGGTTGAATGCTGTACAGGGGATGATTGAATTGATGTGGGTGCAATATGATCTTTCTTTAGATCAGGGAGGGGCGAGCTATATTGATGTGTTAAATACTATCGCGTCTTCGAACGAATTTCTGCCCACGTTGGCCTGATATTTTCAACCAGGTTAAGAAATCTGACTCCCGTCTCTTGCTCCACCTTCGTTTGAATGAATTCTTCTTCCCTCAGCTTACCCATCTAGCTTGAATGGGCCATTCCACCGAGTTTAGCAGACCATCGTCAAGAGAACCGATTATCCTAGTCGGCAGTAACTTTACAGCCACTTTCCACAAGTGATAGTTTCCCCCGTGTTACGGGACTGATTTAGGGTATTAGCACTACAGCTGGTCGAGTTTGGCATGGCGGAGCCTGAAGCCGTACTAGATGCGTTACAATATAGATATTTGTCGGCATATAAGCCATAGAGTTTAACATAGAGTTTTTCGAGTACGTACTCACAGTGAGGCTGTTATCGTAAGCGGCAGAGTATCCCGTATATAAACAATAGGTATATAAACAATCGGAAGTGTAGCCTCGGAACACACTATATTGCGATTGCACAATCATTGCCTAGCCAAACGACCTTATTTCGAAGCTAGCTAGTCGCACCTGTAGGGATCATTGCTAACCTCTGCGCTGCTTGAGCCATTCCGGCGCTCCGCCAAACCTGGTATAACGCGTAGTGACCACGTTCGTCTTTAGGCTCACAAAGGTTGTAGATGTCCTGCATCGCCTCATCTGTGATTTCGTTTCCATCGGTTAGGGAAAAAAGCACTTCAGGCACAGTGAGGAAATCAGGCTGGTTGAGATAAGCTCTAACCTGAGTTGCTTGTGAGGGAAGGCGATATGAATAATGTACTGAAGATCTGGTTCTGGTTCTGGTGCTGTTGCTGTAAGATTCGACGTAATAACAACAGCACCCTCGGAAGGGGATTGAATATTGAATTTCTCATGATGCAATGAATCGGCTTTTCTCTGTAGCGACTCAATCATCCCCTGCGCTAGAAGTTGATTGGATAAGTATGGGTTTCCCTCGTCTTCATTTAGACCATAATCAAATTCGAGGCCCACTATATCACAGTGACTCCGGCCGATCAGCGACGATAATTCCCAGCAATTGTGACCCATTTTCCGGCATTTCTTCACGACAAGTTCTTCTGTTTCTGGAAAGACTTCACATTCTTCACGGATGATTGAAGTATCAAATCCATTTGGGGTGACCCGCTCAATTCGGGAGCGGAGGTCAACTTGCGCTCTGAGCGAGAAACTCCGATTGAAATTTACCCATAGCGGACCAAATTCAGCCTCATAATCCGATCAGACATTAGAACGGAAGCTATAAGAAGTAATCACTAGCAGAAACCCCTGCAACTGTCGATCCTTGTCGCTGGGTACCACTTTTGCAATGCCAGGGAAGAAATCTTCTCCCGGGCGGTCATTCTTTCTGTGAAGAATCTCCCGTTTTTGATGCTCCATGCAGGCAAATGCATCAGGCTGGGGACCATATATTCCAAATGACAAGGTTCCCACGGAATAGTCAAAAATCTGCGAAAAAAGATATTGACACAGAGCGGTAAAATCATCTTCGGAGTCTGAGTCTAGGGGGACGGTGCTGTAAACCTGGATGGCGAATTTGGAAGAGGAGCTAACGAGGGGTCAGGGGTGGTTGGTCTGAATGCCATAAAAACCGAAGGTTGGTCTGCATGGCGCTGGGTCTGCATGGTATTGGTAATATTGTGCAACCCATCGGGGACGCGGAGTCTTCCGTGCGTTTTTGATCCTAGCCATTACGATCGATGGGAAGGGGTAAAAGAGACAGGCCCTGTCTGCTAAAAAGAGAATGGTGATATAGTGCCACCCAGAGATCACTCTATGATTAAAATGGCGGACTGACCGCATCTAGTAATTCACCGGTCTCGATACTACAGTTGTAATTCCAGCTCGCATAAATTAATATCAACTAATATGAAAATCACGTCTTTGGTTCTACTTGGATATACAATGTCCACGGGTATGAAATTACATTTGTGACCCAACAAGAGAAGCAAACCTTGTATATGAGATCCAAAAGAAGAAGACAGGCTAATATCAAGAGAGGCGTCGAACTTAGGAGAACAACCACAAGGCCATGTAAATATGACTCTAATATCTATCCATCACCATGGGAACTGGCTTCCATCCCACACGCGCAGCTGCGCACCAACCGACTCCCTCGTCCCCTCATCAATAGTCTTCACGATACCGTCAACGCTCTCTTCAATCGTCTGGTATGCCTTCTCGAGCCCGAAGAGCCGGGCGCCGGTATTTCCCATGTCAGTTTGGACGAATCTACAATTTTGTTAATATTTCTGCAACACAATTCCAGTAAAGACACATACCCAGGATCAGCAACGAAGCTCACAAAGTCCTCATTCTCGAAGTGAACCTTGCGCACAATCCAGTGCAGCATAGCCTTGCTGGCGCCGTACGCGGTACATGGGTACGGGCGCTGCTCCATGCCGGCGATGCTGCCTAGCGGACTACCGATTCCTACGAAGGTGGGCTTCGCGCTCTTCTTGAGCAGCGGGTAGACCGCTTGGAAGAGGTAGATGGGCCCGTAGACATTGACGTCGACATGCTCGCGTATCTCGGGGATGGAGACCTCGTGAATGGGCGCCAAGTCATTGCAGATACCGGCGTTGGCAATCACCACGTCGATGTGGTCGAGGCCGTGTTCTGTCTGGAGGGTCTCGACTGCAGCAGTTGGGTCGGTGGAAGACTTGGAATCGATTTTCACGACATACAGGCGAGAGGAGTTGTCCTTAGAGAGGGATTCTAGAGACTGGGATGAGGCGCCGGCGGGGTCGCGGACGGCCGCGATGACGGTGGTGTTGGGGCGAGCGAGGAGTTTCTCGACTAGACCACGACCAATTCCGCGGCTAGCGCCAGTGATGAGATAGATGGTGTTGGCCATGATAGAACTGTTGGATTGAAATGGCAATGTTAAGACACGATGAAAGATGACCTAAATACATACATGTAGGCCACATGGTTACAGTCCAGGGCTGACAAATGTGATTGTACGGAGTATTCGGCTTGCAAATAATCAGCCCCCGGGGCTGGAAATGTGACAAATGCAACTAGATTCTTACAAATACGATTGGAGAATCTGAGGTGTTACAAAGCGAGAATAGACTTCTAAAGAAAAAAGACGGGAAAAGGGACAAAAAAGGACAGTGGACAACAAAGAAACCCTCCCAATTGGCTAACATGTAAGCCCTAAGCATCGGGTGGAGCTATAGTTAAATTAACTTGCTCTGTCATGTATAGATCAGCTGTCAGATATCATGACTTTTTGTGCTCGTGCGCAAGACCATACACATATATGATTTACATATATGATTTGCACCGTCCCTCACTGATGGCCTCATCCCGTAATTGGAATCATAATCAAATTAGATATACAGAATGGTGTCAAATGGTTATCTTTCACACGGGGAAAAAGATGAATTCAATCTCCAGAAGTGGTCGTCAACCCTATCATCGTCATTGGGCCTTCCGCCATCTCTACCCTCCGCCACTGGCCCGATATCTGTCGAGACCTCGAAGAAGATCAGTCAGACAGTGCGATGTACTACCGGCGCCATAATGGTGACCTGATCCTAGGGCATACCACTTTGGGATACAATAGCCCGGAACTTCTCGCCCAGCGACAAGATCTACCCTACGTGGCCTCGTATCAGGTCCGTCGGAAGTTCTATCGCATGCTTCTACGTCAGGTCGCCCGCGTGGGCCTAAAAGTCGAATATGGGCAGCGCGTCGAACGGTACTTCGAGGACGAGGCCGCTAATGTCGCGGGCGTTGTCACGGAGGATGGCAGCGTCCGCGTCGCGCAGCTTGTCGTCACGGCCGATGCATTTAAGACGCGTTCCGACCTGCTCATTGCAGGATATCACATTCCCACGCGATCAAGTGGCATGTCCGTGTATCGAGCGGCGCTGCCGACGGAGCTAGCGCTGCAAGATCCAGCATTCAAAGCGCGGTGGGGCGAGCTTGAGTAGGGTGGCTCAAACCATGAGTTCTGGATCGGCCCGGGCATGCATCTGGGACTTTTTATATCGCCGGACTTTGTGGCGTACGGGCTCACGCCGCGGGATAAATTCCTCTAGCCGGGCGGGAATGAGCCGATCGAGTCATGGGACCCGGACGTGGATCCGGCGGAGGTTCTAGAGGTGCTTCACCGTGTTCCAGACTGGAATCCTGCAATCGAAGGGCTGATCCGTAACATGCCTAAGCGCGAAACGGTGCATTGGCCGTTGCTGTGGCAGAATCTTCGCCAAGGGTGGACGTCTAAGGGTGGTCGGGTGGTGCAGGTCGGGGACGCGGCACATACCACAGTGCCTGCCTCTATCAGCGGCGGAACACTGGCTATCGAGGATGTCGTGACACTGGCGGCCTGCTTGCAACTCGCGTGCTCTGGGGGCGCCCCAGGTGGTGCACCTCTAGGAGCCCGCATCTACAATATACTCCGATACCAGCGGGTTAGCTGTGTGCAGAAGATGTCTTATGTCAATTCGGAGAACCTCGGTCCCGTAGACATGGATGAGGTTCTGAAGAAGGTTGCGGATCTGTTAGAGGTGATTGGGATTCGTTAGAAGCGGCATAGCGTTAGTGTTGTATTAGAATACTTCAAATTAAGAGGTTCTAGTAAGCAAACAACCAGGTCGAGGACCGCCAGTGAAGTAGTCAATTTGTCTTTGACTGCTTCGTTCTAACGCTCATACAGACCTGTTGCCTAACATGCCACGTTTATTCCGTTTCATACCAATTGAGGAAAACCTAGGAACGGACCTAGATGCGGTCAATTATTCCGATCGGATACTGAATACATAGCGATCTGGACTTCTTGAAAATGAACCCCTGTCCTTGAGTCGCTTGATAGTTAGTAATAAAGCGAAGATAATAGTAACAATGTACATAAAAGAACCTCCTACTCTGGATCGTTCAACCACACGGTCAGTCATACAAACGAGTATCTTGTTGGAATTAAATTACAATTGTATAAAACTAGCCAAAGAAACTGGACTATCTTAATATCAATTCAAGTGGTCAAATACGATAAAGTCCCCCTGCTATCTATTTGCCCTCCTCTGCACTCTTTCCCTCTCCAGCCGGCTCCTTATTCTCGGCATCGGGCTTTGGCTGTCCCTTCTTGATACTCTTCCACTCTAGAGTAGCCGCACCTAGTACTGTCAGACAAGAAATAATCATACCGACCTGAAACACCTTCCGTAGAGAATCATTGTAAGAATGGAGAACCGAGATATGCAGATCAGCCGGCATTGTATTCAGCAGCTCCGTGACACCCCCGGAGGTGACAAGATGGGAGTTGAAGCCCGGTAGCCCGGAAAGTCTCTTCACGAGCTGATTGGCCAGAATATTCTCCCCAACTGAGACAAAGACGGCGGCCCCGATCATCTGACCGAAAAGCATTAGCGCTAACCCAGATGGCACGTCAGGCTTCGGAAGAACGGTCTGAGCGGCGAGATTGGGAACTTGAAAACACAAGCCCAGACCGATTCCGTAAACTATCTGATAGCCGATCCACTTTCCCTCGCTGGTGTCCACGTGAAAGGTGGTGAGCAGGCCCGCTCCGACGGACATGATGCAGGATCCGATGATAGCTAGTGGGGTGTAGTATCCGATTTTGGAGTTTGTGATTCCACCGCTGATTGAGCCGACGACCATTGATATCATCATCGGTAGCAGGCGGATGCCGGATTCCACGGCCGAACTGCCTTTGATGGTTTGGAACCAGATCGGGAGGAAGTACACTATGATTGAGTCAATAACAGGGTATGTTACTGGGTAGTGCGGTGCTTTTACCAAATATATAGTTGCTAGAGCCGACGCAGAGTGTCTGCCAGAAGGCTGAAATCATGCTGCGCTGCGAAAAGATGCGCAGTGGGAGCGTCGCTGTCTTTGGAAGGAGGACCTGAACAATAACAAAAGAAAGAAGTAAGACGCTCATGAGAACCAGACAAGCCACGACGCGGCCATTGCTCCACTAGAAACTGTCAGTTGTGGTCGGAAACAATAGTGCACATAACTTACAGCGTAGGTCTGGCCTCCCCACTGACATGCCAATACCAGACAGACCACACCAGATACCAGAAGTGTAGTGCCGAAGAAATCCAATTGTTGCAGCTTCTCCATCCATAAGACTTTCGCTGTATCTTCCTTAGGGATCTTGAGGCAGAAAGCAATAAAGACCATTGCCGCGCCACCAATGGGCAAATTTACATAAAAGCACCATCTCCATGTCACATTAGATGCAAAGGCACCGCCAATCAAAGGACCCACGATAGAGGCAATGCCGAAAAGGGCGCCGAACAATCCCTGAATTTGTGGACGTTTTTGGAGAGGCACGGAATGAATAATGCACATTATCTGAGACCCATCTGTCAGCAAATGGTACAAAGAGGATAGGACTAGGGTCACGTACAGTTCCAGCGAGAATACCAGCAGCGCCGACTCCACAGATTGCTCTTCCGATTATAAAGGCGACTGAATTTGGAGCCGCTCCACAGATAGCAGAGGCAACCTCAAACACTAGAATACTGGCAAGGAAGACGATTCTGATAGAAAAGAGCTTATAAAGCTTGCCAAATAGGAGTTGGAACGCGCAGCATGTTAACAAGTAGGCGCTTCCATACCAGCCAACGTCATCGAAGGAGTTGAATTCGTCGGTGATTTTGGGTATGGCCTGTCAATTGTGCAGAACTTAGCACTAGAACTGAGCTGAAGTAATTGTATGATACACATACCGTCGAGATAATTGTTCTGTCAAGTGCGACGAGGAACATGGCAACAAAAGCCGAGACGATCAAACACACAACCCTAAGTGTGGACTGATTCTCGGGCGGGCCTGGAGGACCTGGAGGGCCTCCAGCTTTGGCTGGCCCATCTTCTTTGACGGGTGCATTGGTAGCCATCTCGCTATGTTCCTTCATCAACTCTGGAGCGTCTACCGTAGTCGATTTAGTGCTGTCAAAGTTGGAAGTGCGTGGAGACATGGTGATTGTGGTATCTGTAGCTTCACCAACCAAGAAAAGATCAATCGGCTAATGCTTGAGGGATAATATTATCCAGAATTAATAATGAGAAAACCCATATTGAAAGGGCCATATTTAAAGAGCCCAAGGGGCAAAATATGGCCGGTGATTTCGCATTTTGCAAGATCAACACGATGGTCGGGGATTAGAAAGTGCGAAGGTTAGCAAGTACGGAGTACGTAGCGTGCGTTTCGGATCTTATAAACCCCGACTTCCCCCTTCCCTTTCCTTTTCCTTCTGGGATTCGGGGTCCGGGATATATTAACAACGTTACTGCTGCAAAAGGATCTATAGTCTCATATAATGGCGACGCCGATCTCTCCATCTGAACAGACAAAGACAACCACCTTTAAGTCTCGGCGCGTGCTGGCCTGTGTTCTGTGTCAGCAACGCAAGATCAAGTGTGATCGTACATTCCCGTGCGCCAACTGTATACGTGCTGGTGAGCAGTGCAAGCAAGCAATCCGCCAGCGACGCCGGAGGTTTCCCGAGAGAGACCTTCTGGCGCGCCTAAGACATTATGAGAGCCTGCTTCGCCAGCATAACATCAAGTTCGATCCTCTCCACACGGCTACCACAGACCGCCGCAGGTCTCCAAGTGAGGATGAGCGAGATGAACTTCCGGAGGTTGTTCGGTCGGAAAGTACACTTCCTGTTCGGGACTCTCGCCCCTTCAAAGAAAACAAAGCAGCCAAGTCTAAATCATTGTACGACACTCTATCTTGTTCTTTTAGTGCAGACGCCCGAGCATACTTCGTGATGACTAATCATATGGCAGGAATCTCTGGCATGCTATGAGTCAAAAGGTATGATCGGCTCTACGAATGATCGTGGGGCTCACTGACATTTGGTAAAGACCGTAGATCCCAAGAATGATGACGAAAATGACGGCGATGATGATGAAATCGACGATGGGTTCCTGCACGACAACGATGATCTGCGCCACGCGGTAATTAAGAAGGCATGGAACCATATGTTTCAAGGCAAAAGCAACGACCACCTATTATTTGGTTCACCGGCAGGGAACGTCGATAACCTTTCTGCTTCGCATCCGACCCAGGTACAGATCTTCAGGCTTTGGCAGATCTACTTGGACAACGTCAATCCTCTTCTCAAAGTCACGCACACTCCCACACTTCAAACACGTATCATCGATGCTGCTAGCGATATATCCAACGTCAATCCCACATTAGAAGCATTGATGTTTAGTATCTATAGCGTCTCCATTCTAAGTCTCACAGAGGATCAATGCAGTGCTTTGTTCGGATATGCTAAAAAGCATCTATTAACAACCTATCAGTCTACATGCCAGCAAGCGTTACGGGGTTGTTATATTCTACAATCTAGTGATCGAGAGTGCCTAACCGCGTTATATCTATACCTAGTAGGTGTGTCGGATCGATCTCTCTACACTCGCTGATTTTTCTAGGTGTCGATCAGACCTGACACAGACCCTACTTCTCTTTCGTCAATGCTTAGCGTTGCTATACGAATTGGTCAGCGGATTGGTATTCATAATGAGTCAACGTACGGTAAATGTTCCGCTCTAGAGGCCGAGATGCGTCGAAGACTATGGTGGTCTCTGATCATCTTTGATAATCGCATCTGCGAGATGGCCGATTACAAGACCACGTCGCTGGCTCCTACGTGGGACTGCCGCATTCCTCTTAATGTGAGTGATTTCGAACTTCAGCCAGAGATCAAAACTCCACCCGCACCAAACGAGAGACCAACAGAGATGCTTTTTGCTGTTGTGCGCAGTGAGCTCGCCGACTTTGTCCGTCATAGTGCCTTCCACCTCGATTTGACCAATTCCTTTTTGACCACGATCGCCCCTGGGTCTACTGCCATAGACGAAATGGAACGGGCTATAACGCTAGAGAAGACAATAGAAGAGAAATACTTGGCATCATGCAATCCAGAAAACCCACTGCACTTCATGACGATCTGGACAATGCGGGGCTACATGGCCAAGAATCGACTCTTGCAACACTACTCCCAATACTCGACAACCTCCACGCAGCAGACAGATACACAGCGCAACGTTGGCATTTCCTACGCACTGCGTATGCTAGAGTGCGACACCAAACTCATGACGTCACCTCTCACGAAGGGATACTTGTGGCTTGTTCACTTCCACTTCCCCTTCCCCGCGTACATCCACCTCCTCCAGGAGTTGAAGAAAGGGCCCGTCGAGGAGCATGCAGACCGGGTGTGGGAGGTGATGAGCAACAACTACGAGGTTCGCATGATGGATGCCAAGGATGACGATCGCCCTTTCTTTATCGTCTTCTCTCGGATTGTCTTTCAGGCTTGGAAGGCGCGTGAACAGGTAGCCAGACAACAGGAGACGCCCCTAGTGGCACCGCGGATTGTGTCGGATATCCGAAACAAAGTGATGCAGATGATGTTGAATTTCGGACATGATGCGGACACAGCGCAGCCAAGTGGTGCACCCGCTGTCAATGCGGATAACCTGTCAGTGCCCATGCATATGGAGTTCAATATCCCTGCGGTGGATTATGGCGATGGGGGGCAGATGCCTACGAGTTTGAGGCCGTGGGGATATCCTGAGATGGCTGGCCCGGGCTCCATGGATGTGGATGCGAATCAGTTTATTTTGAACACTATGGAGTGGAATGCGTTGCATGCACAAAGAATGTGATACTCCTCTTAGATAGCAGTGATGTGTCAGTCCCGATGGCTGTTATGACTTCTTTAATACCCTGATCTATCTTGCTCGAGATGGCATAACAGAAAGTATATTTTAAGATAGCACTCCGAGCTTTTTTTGGATCTCCTTTTTAGAAGCTCTTTTAGAAGCCCTTCGCAGATGTCTTTTTAAATTTCTCTGGATGAAAATTTCTCTGGATAATGATCAATAGCACGGAGCAGGCTGTAGAAAATATACCATGGGATAAAATGCATAAACCGCATAGAAGACCTTTTTTATCTCCGGCAGAGACGTACGGCCTCCACAATCAGGTACGACAGCAGCTTTTCTTGTGAAGTGACGTTCATACAATCATAATGTTGCTATGGGCTGACTATTATACAGAAAGCACAACCTATCCATCACAACCTATCCATCATCACTATCCATCATCACTATCCATCATCACCATACTCAAGTTCATCAGAAACCTCGTCTTTTGAGACATTATTATGGAAACCATCAGGTACCAAATTCCATGGTCGCGCCGTGGCACTTTTAACGAGACGTCCCAGAAGAAGTTTATCGTCATCGGGCCGACTCCCCGCAGCCTCCTTGAGCACAAATTGATATTCGCGGCCCATCTCTTTAATGAGTACCAAAATCGTATTACGCGGTAGATATCTCCCCGCGCGCCCCCAAAATAGGCTTCCTTTCCATGCCTGGACTGCAGACACTTGGCTTGACTTTCCCTGGCTGCTATGTAGCCAGCACATTCGTAGCACCTGCACATAATAACGGAAGTACAGGTACCTCGCTGCAGGGCGGAAGCTAGAAAGAAAAACCAGCTTGCTTCCGTCAGGCTGTCCAAATGTGAGACTGATCCTTCTAGAGATCCGTTCCTCACTCACTTCCCAGTCCGGGTCAACTATACTGACCCGGTACTCCTGTGGCTTGTGATGGAGCCACCGCTTGACTGTGAACACTAGCGTATTCTCCCGAACAATTTCTGGAATATCAGGTACTATGACGAACTTGCCGGCATCAAAATGACGCACAAGCCTTTTAGAGATAAGTAGCCCATTTAGGGGAGAGAAGAGCTCCTCCGGTCGCTTTTTACCAAATATGGCATCCATAGCGTGCTGTCGATCGGAATATTTGAAAGGCTTCTACTGCTCCTTCATCGTTGTAATCGCTAAGAATTGGGTACCAAAGCCACCACAGTCAAGGGAAGCTAAACGATTAATACTTGGTGAGAACCGTTACCGACAGAAGCAGATCGGAAAGATACAGCAGGAGCAGCCGTGCAGGCGATGCTTCCAGACAAACCGCAACTGCTTGGAATCCGTGTATATTTAATGACCCTGTCGCTCCAGTTCTGGCTGTTGTACGTTGCTTCGACAGCTCTGAGAAAAGTGGACCAATGCCGGAGAGGTCCTACATCCTTGAGGCCATGAAGGCCATTGAATACCGTGTGGTACAAGCCTTGGAGGTGAAGGGATTGCTTGACTGCCTCTCTTGCACGAATTTGCTTGCCTGTCGTATTATGTGTAGAATCTGTAAGCAAGATAGACTGTCAGTATCACACGTCAAGCGCAAGGTGTAAGGATTATAGGATGTAGTTTACAGGCTATGTGGAAGTTGAGATTGTTTTGAGGCTTGGTTCTGTCCAAGATTGGGTTGAATCCAGGAGAAAGAAAACGGCGGGGCCTTCCAAAATTGTCTTGTGTAGTGTGGTGATGTTGTGTGCGAAAGGTCGACTCTTCTGGCAACACCCGGGAGTTTTTGAAAGGCAGGTGTGATCAACAAACTATCCCGCTGGAATGCGGGCATAGCGAGATACTACATATCAAAAGCGCTTTTATAGAAATTGTGGTTTTCACTCTTAATTCTTATATTGCTTTGCACCGCATTATTATATAGTTTGTAACTGATTATCCCAAAAACAAACCTCCACTACCTTGAGGTGCGAGGCTCCAGACGCAAGTTCTAACTCAAAAATATCGGTGGACTTCGCCATCTTGACGTCGTTTGCACCCATGCGGGAGGAAGAAACCGCGGGTAACTGCATATGCACATAAATAGCATACATGCCGAACTTTCCAGCTTTTCCTGCGGAGGGGGCCGAGTGCGTCGGGTCATCGGGAAACCCGACACGCCTAGACTCAGCTACCCAGGTAATGCCGTAATCCTCCACTCCTGCGCAGGTTTGATCTCAGCCCAGGTGGTGAAAGTACATTCGGGAATCGGCATAACGAAGTGCTTCGGGATAAAGTCTATTTGCCTCGGCCCTTCCGAGATCTCTGTAATCACCCCCGCTCCCACGTGAGGCCCCGCTATGGAGATCTGGGGGGTGTTTCCCGAGGTTCATTCATTGAGGTCAATCATTTTCAATTTAGCCCTTAGGATTGAGTTCTCATGGCCGATTTCTGGGCTGGCTACATCAGCGGAGCCATTGGGATCATCATCGGCAACCCTCTCGATGTGATTAAAGTCCGGCTGCAGGCGGGGCACTCACATGCCGATACATCAACGGCACAATTGAGCCGCTTCGAAAAAGCAAGCACTCTTGTTCGAGGTCCGTGTTGCACCAGCTCGGTAACACCAAGACCAACCAATTGACCATCGTTATAGGCGCGGCTGCTCCGATCCTAGGCTATGGAGCTCTCAACGCTATTCTTTTTGTCGCTTACAACCGATCCTTAACAGCATTGGATGGGTCCGTAACGGATCCCACCAATCCCGTGGGGGTATCGCCTTACAAGATCTGGCTGGCTGGTGCCGCAGGCGGACTGGCTAGCTGGACCATCTCGTCGCCAACGGAGTTAATCAAGTGTCGGGCACAGCTGGATCGCCGGCCAGATGTCTCCTCGTGGGCGGTTGCCAAGGATATCTTCCGAACGCGTGGTTGGAGGGGCCTTTACTTTGGGGGCGGAATTACTAGCGCCAGAGATTCAATTGGCTATGGATTCTAGTATGGAACTGACACGCCACCCCCGGATACCCCAGTGTATCAATTGAGGGATTTAGTGCTGATCTAATACAGTTTCTGGTCCTACGAACTTTGCAAACGATTTATGACCTCTGATGATGACGGTTCACACCAAGCTGCTATGAAGGTTCTGCTTTGCGGTGGCATTGCTGGAGTTGTTACTTGGGCCTCGGTGTTTCCTTTGGATATGATCAAGACACGACTGCAGGCACAGACAATTACAGATCATTCGCCTAGAAGTGAGAGCCAGTCTCTACTACGACCACAGCGCCAGATACTAAATTCTTTCCAAATTGCGAAAGAGACATATCGTGTCGAGGGTATCAAGGCATTCTATCGTGGTTTTGGAGTCTGCAGTGTCAGAGCGTTCATTGTGAATGCCGTTCAGGTATGTTTTCTCCGTGTTATTGCAATCGATTAAACTAACATCTCATAAAGTGGGCGGCATATGAATGGTTGATGAAGAGCTTAAATCATTCCTGGGACGCACAAGTGAAAACCCAAGAGCCCATATCGGGCATGTAAATATGTTCAACCTGATGCCAAGCTAAGAATATATAAAACATATCAAAACAAAACATTCAAGCCAAGCTACACAGTTACCGAAAACCGATTTAGGTTAGATTCTATTTGGTATTGAGGGATTTCTATTGGAATTACTCGCGAGTATTGCTAGTAAGGGGGTAAATTTCGCCCAGATGCCGTTTTCGCCGGTTATCGGCGGTTTCGAGTCACCCGCAAAACGGAAAGGAAACACGGCGAGTATCGGCAATATAAAAAAAAATTGCTTCACGTGAGACTCCACCAAGATGCATGAACAGAACATCAGAACAGGTCTCGATGTATGGAAACTTTTGTATGTATGTCGATTTGCTGAAAAGAGGATCGTGGTCGCGTAGCAAAGGTTTGATTTTTATCCCAGAAGGCGAATATCTTCGATTCACTCCTTCATCACGTCGGGGTTCTCTTCGCGCTTGCCGTTGTCAATTAAACCCAGTCCGATCGCACGCTCAGCAAGCAGTTGGCTGTGAGGCTCATCGCGTAGGATGCGAAGTCTGAAAACGCGTAACTGGTCAGCGACGCGACAGGGGACTTTGTATCAGGAATACACTCACCTCCGCTTGTGGTTCTTGCCCTTGGCATGTGCCTTGAGGTTGTAGTCACTCTCAAACCATTTTGAGCACTCGGTGCAGTAGAATTTGCCTAGGCCAGGCAGATCCTCTGCCTCTTTCGTATCCTTGAACTTCTGCAGGTGACCTTGGGTTTTGATATCCGCGACGACTAGATCGTAGTCTCTGTGAATTGGTCAGCGATCAACGCCATAGGTAAAGGTACTAGGGTAAACATACCTGGTGCGGCGCTTGTTCTTGACTTTCCTGAGAGCACCCATTGTAAATGATAGCCGAAATACCTCGGAGCTGGAGCCGAATAATGGTATCAAAATAGATGCAGAATGAAAATTGGTTATCACCGATTTCCGGAGTGAACGGTGAGGAAAGCGGGTCAAAGAGGTCAGGGACAATAGCGAGGGTTTGAGATGAAATTTCCGCCGATTGTGGGTCGCGCGGACGATTGAAATAGCTGGTCTGTGATTGGTTGGCGATCAGACACGGCACCTTGGCGGCGATGCGGGATTGCCATTCGGCTCACCTCGGCTCAGTCCATTTCGTCACCGTACGTGTATTTAATGACGTTTGCATGCGGTATGCTGTTCGGATCTAGTTTTACCACATAATGTACATAATAAGTTCAATATCAAGTATAAAGGTACATATATAGGAGAATATAGTGATGGGAATACCCGTCCACGGGTGGATTGTCCAGAAAATACTCTACTAATAGAGCATAGCATCAACACATGTCAATCATTGGCTAGGTTCATACTTTTGAAACCCATCAAATCCACATGCGTTAAAAGTGTAGCACGGGGTACAGGCCGAGTTACATGAGAACACATTGACCTTTACCAAAGCCCTTTGGTCCGAAGGAGAGGGCGAAGGGGCCATGTAATTGGAAACACCGTGATTGGTGGCCGAGTTATACCCGTCACATGCCTTGTATCGCCATTACGCTCCCGGTACATCAAGGCGAACACAATGGGCCACAGGATGTTGAATATTGAAAGTTCACATGGGAAGAGAAGATGGATAGAAAAAGAATCGGGTGTATATCCCTCTTAAAATTCATCATCTATCATAGCAAATCTTAACAATTCTAGGCCATAAGCAGCGTCTATCAAATTGCCCAGCCTTTTTGCCGTTGCATGCGGCAGGCTTAGTCCAATACCAGCGTATTGTATCGCCGTGGTAACAGCGGTTACGGCTCTACTCCCGGTCCCCGTAGAATCTTTCTCCCACTCAAAACCAAGCTTTCGTCCTCTTCTTCTTTTTGATCTCTTCCTCTCTCATTCTACTCTCCACTCTCATAATTTGGTGAAGGTGGTTTACTAGCTCTTGGATGTGCAATCCCATCTCATAGAGCCTCCATCATGATCTCCACCCGCCTCGCGCGCGCTGGTGCGCTGGTACGTCTTCCTCCCTCGGCTCATTATTCTCACGGCATGGCGCTCTACACGAGTGCCAGCCTGATTCTTGATGAATGGAAAACTGACTTGTGTTTCGACTTTAGGCCCCCAAGTTCCGTCTTGTAAGCAGTGACCTCATTGCCAAGCTCCATCTACACGTGGCGTCGCACATATGCCGGCGTGCATGATAGCTCAGACATAGCTCAAGACCTGCAGTTACTGACTTTTCAATGTATAGGTTACCGGAACTCGGGCCTTCGCTACCGCCAACCCTCTCGACAAGAAGGTCGAGATGACCAACCAGGAAACTGTGAGTGGCTGCCATCCTAGCGCCCGAGAACCGGGGCGTGGAGTGCAATTCCAAGCAATAGCGACTAACGTATTACATTTCAGGGCCACTACATCAACTACAAGAAGATGTCCGAGAACCTCGACATCGTCCGTTCTCGTCTGCAGCGCCCTCTCACTTTCTCCGAGAAGGTTCTGTACTCTCACCTTGACGACCCCCACGGACAGGACATCGAGCGTGGTGTCTCTTACCTCAAGCTGCGCCCCGATCGTGTTGCTTGCCAGGATGCCACCGCCCAGATGGCTATCCTCCAGTTCATGTCCGCTGGCATGGACCGCGTCCAGACCCCCACCACCGTCCACTGTGACCACTTGATTGAGGCCCAGGTTGGAGGTGAGAAGGATCTTGCTCGTGCCAACGACATCAACAAGGAGGTCTACGATTTCCTTGCCTCCTCCACCGCCAAGTACAACATCGGTTTCTGGAAGCCCGGTTCCGGTATCATTCACCAGATTGTTCTTGAGAACTACGCTTTCCCCGGTGGTCTCATCATCGGTACTGACTCCCACACCCCCAACGCTGGTGGTCTCGCTACCGCCGCTATTGGTGTCGGTGGTGCTGATGCCGTCGATGTTATGGCTGGTCTCCCTTGGGAGCTGAAGGCCCCTAACGTCATCGGTGTTCGTCTCACTGGTAAGATGTCTGGCTGGACCACTCCTAAGGATATCATCCTCAAGGTCGCCGGTCTCCTCACCGTTAAGGGTGGTACCGGTGCCATCATCGAGTACCACGGTCCCGGTGTTGAGTCCCTGTCCTGCACTGGTATGGCTACCATCTGTAACATGGGTGCTGAGATTGGTGCTACCACCTCTATCTTCCCCTTCAACGACCGCATGTACGACTACCTGAAGGCCACCAAGCGTCAGCACATTGGTGACTTCTCTCGCGAGTACGCCACTGAGCTCCGTGAGGATGAGGGTGCTAAGTACGATCAGCTCGTTGAGATCAACCTCGATGAGCTCGAGCCCCATGTCAACGGTCCCTTCACTCCCGATCTTGCCACCCCCATCTCCCAGTTCAAGGAGGCTGTCAAGACCAACAAGTGGCCCGAGGAGCTCAAGGTCGGTCTGATCGGCTCTTGCACCAACTCCTCGTACGAGGATATGTCCCGCGCTGCTTCCATCGCCCGTGACGCTCTTGACCACGGTCTCAAGTCCAAGTCTCTGTTCACCATCACCCCTGGTTCCGAGCAGATTCGCGCTACCATCGAGCGTGACGGTCAGCTCCAGACCCTCGAGGAGTACGGCGGTGTCATCCTTGCCAACGCCTGCGGACCTTGCATTGGTCAGTGGGACCGCAAGGACGTCAAGAAGGGTGAGGCCAACTCCATCATCTCTTCTTACAACCGTAACTTCACTGGCCGTAACGACGCCAACCCCGCCACCCACGCGTTCGTTGCCTCTCCCGATCTGGTCGTCGCCATGACCGTTGCCGGTACCCTCAACTTCAACCCTATCACCGACTCCCTCACCGACAAGGATGGCAACAAGTTCATGCTCAAGGCTCCCTCCGGTGACGGTCTCCCCACTCGTGGCTACGATGCTGGCCGTGACACCTACCAGGCTCCTCCCGCTGATCGTTCCACCGTCAGCGTTGCTGTCTCCCCCACCTCCGATCGTCTTCAGATCCTCGCTGGCTTCCCCGCCTGGGATGGCAAGGATGCCACCGATCTGCCCATTCTGATCAAGTGCCAGGGCAAGACCACCACTGACCACATCTCCATGGCTGGCCCTTGGTTGAAGTACCGTGGCCACTTGGACAACATCTCCAACAACATGTTGATTGGTGCCACCAACGAGGAGAACGGTGAGGCCAACAAGGTCAAGAACTACTTCACCAAGGAGTACGATGCCGTCCCCGCTACTGCCCGTGACTACAAGGCTCGTGGCGTCAAGTGGGTTGTCATTGGTGACTGGAACTACGGTGAGGGCTCTTCCCGTGAGCACGCCGCTCTCGAGCCCCGTCACCTCGGTGGTCTCGCCATCATCACCCGCTCCTTCGCTCGTATCCACGAGACCAACTTGAAGAAGCAGGGTATGCTTCCCCTGACCTTCACCGATCCCGCCGATTACGACAAGATCAACCCCGAGGACAAGGTCGACCTCCTCTGCACTCAGCTCGAAGTTGGCAAGCCCATGACCCTCCGTGTCCACCCCAAGGACGGTGGCGCCGCCTTCGACATCTCCCTCAGCCACACTTTCAACGAGTCCCAGATGGAGTGGTTCCGCGACGGCTCTGCCCTCAACACCATGGCCCGCAAGGCTTAAACTGCCTTTCTTCTGTCATGACTCCCCAACAATAAAACCTTCAAGTGTTTCGGTTATGACCGAGACACCTGTGTAAACTACGTTCTCTTGTGTGTTGAACAATTCAGATACATGCCTCTGAAAAGCACGGTGCGACACGGCAGCCATTGAATTGGTTGTTTATTGCCCATGCCCCTTTCGTGAGCAGATACGAGGAGTTGCGCTCTGGGAAAATTATGAATGAACTTGTGTTTTTGTAGGCCTGATTTCTCGGCCTTGCGTTGATTCCCGATATCTGGGTGGGCTCAATGGATATACTTTTTTTGATTTTTATATCACTGTTTTTGTATGTTAGGAATGGCATGCATACACAATTTCTTTTTTTCAATGTACTCCTTTCGTATGTTGTAGATTCGTATAGTATTTCAACCATATTCGGCATATTAGACAGAAATACCCTGGATCCCTCGGACACATCAAGGCTGAGATAAGCTTGCCGAGGCACGCCTGGGTAATTTCTGCCCCGCGTTCATTGTATAAGATTTAACTTGCACGCCATCAGGTCGTCTTCTTTCATTGGGTTCGGCAAGTTTAGCACTTCGATATCTCAAGCTCACTCTCACCACAACTCATCCATCCACATCAAGCCTAGAAGAGTGTCTTGAATGATAAGTCGACCCTTAGTTGACTACTGATTTGCACTTCTGGATCCAGATATAAGGACCGCATTGTTATATTTCCCCCTTCCATCTACTATCCCCACCCACCTCAAAAAATGGCGACCCAGCTCGTCCAACTCCCAGAAGTGGAGCGCCTCAGCGCTTCAGTCGTGAGAATCTTAGGCGCAAATCCGGGGAAGGTGAGTGCATAGATGCCATGATGTCACTAGAACATGACAGGCTGATCAATAGCACACAATGCAACACAGTTCACCCTTCAAGGTAAGCATGATATTCCATCCGAACTCACAGAAGACAGTCCCTAACCACATACTCAGGCACAAACACATACTTGATTGGCCGCGGCCACCAGCGAATCTTAATAGACACAGGAGAAGGCAAGCCCACATGGGCCGCAAACCTTCAGTCCGTTCTCTCAGAAGAAAAAGCAACAGTGCACCAGGCTCTCCTGACACACTGGCACCCCGACCATGTCAACGGGCTATCAGATCTGCTCAAACTCTGTCCCCAGGCTCAGATCTTCAAACACCAGCCTGATACCGATCAGACGGATATCCAGGAGGGTCAGGTGTTCTCTGTTGAAGGTGCTAC